TCCTTTTTCCGCGAACAGAAGTACGAATAAAACCATTTCGGACCATGAAGGCCTACTCGAGTTTTCATTAACGTTATGCAAACTTACCTATCTTAAAATGATTATTTACGCAAATACCTATTACAGGAATGGAAATGAATTACCTAACCTACCCAGAGGAAAAATAACTAATTTGGATTCATAACATTTCAATTCGTATATTATATTCGTAAATAACAGCGTCTTGGAAAATTTTGTTCTGAATTTAGAACGTGAAAAAGTTCAAACTTATGAGCTCGCTTTCAATTAGTTTAACAGCTTCTAAACCATTTTTACTGCTCATTCTTCAACGCTTGTCAATGGTTATCACGTGACAACATCAGATTGAGTCAGTTGACGTACTTATTTGTCTCTCCAACACATTTAAATACACGCAACTTATTCGTGCACCAAATTGGTGCGCGAAAATTTTCTTTCATTTTTTTCTTGAACAATTTAGCCGTAATAATGGGTTTATTATCTGTATTAGCTGAAAGTCTGATGATGATTTATAGGGTAGAAAAAAACCAATAAGTGCCATAAACTATAATACAAGAATCTCAATAAATCAAACAGACATGACAATGTTTTTTCTAGTAATACGTGGTAGGTATAAATTCATAAACAAGCGTATAACATCACATGTCTGCCAATCAAACAAAATTGTCAAAATTATTCTTACTGTAAATGATTTAAGAATTTTTCAATTTGTTTATGGTATTTCTTTACAAAAAATCTTTTGTTTATTTAACTAAGTCGCTGCGGCGAAACGCTATCTGATCATTTAAACGCCTGGATTCCTTTACTACAGATTTTAAAGCCAAATAAAAAAGTCCAGAGACAAAAGCCAGGATCTGCGAACTCGATATAACAGTTGCAATCCGTTAAATGCGACCGGCGCATTCCAAATTATCGAGTTAAATTTTTAAATTTAACAAACATTCTCTCTCTCTATTTTTTTACGATTGAACTGCTGGTGTTTTTGTCGATTGTAAAATACGATAGAAATATTTTTATAGTTACTTGGGTTTTTTGATACAATTTCAGATTTATCATTTGTATATTGGCATTAAATATGAAACCTAAGTTAGGGTCTGGATATAGTATTAAATTGTAATACCAAACTTTACTATTCAAGGGAGTAAATGTAGTTGACAGTCAAAACGAGACTAATTACATCTTGCTGTTTTGAAATAAACCGAGCAAAAGTTAGTTTTCATCTTGAGTGAAGTCAGTAAAGCAATTAATTAGCACTGCAAAGTTCGCTCGTACTTTTCACTGTTAGTTTAACTAATAGATTTTTGTTTTCTTTGACGGAAAGTTGGAGACAGAAAAACAATTAGTGAAATAGTCCATAAGTTCGTTCATTTCAGCCAAATGACGTCCACTGCTGAACAAAGGCCTCCCCCAAGGATTTCCATAACAACCGGTCCTGCGCTGCCCCTAACACTTACTTAAGTACTAAATTAAAACTTACATAAATATAAGTACTTAAATCAAACCGGATCTTTCGTCTTTTTTAACTTTGACTTTACAAAGAAAAATAATATGAAAATAACCCAGCGGTTTCGCCTGCATGTAAATTGGTCTATCACAGATAGATTAACGAGCGCAAGTTGTCGTTTCAAAAAGTAGGTTTGTGTAAAAATATGCCAGAGTATTTTCCCAGGGTTTCAAGTGATTTAAGTGTGAAAACTAAAATTCTACATACAACCTGAAAAAATAACCCAGATAGCCGAATTCGGAAATGCGTGAGAAAAACTTATCCCAAGCACCACAGGATAAGTTGTCCATTACCTTCGGTTTACGGCGATAAAGGGGAAACCGCCGAAGCCTGCTATTTGTATTAAAAGAACAAACGCCGCAAAAGTCCGCTCCCCGAGGATGTAATATCGAACACATTTACGGGGAACGGGCCAAAAAGTACAGCTAGCACATTTATCTTTTTATGAATGAAAAATATTACTTTCACAGTTTTATTTATGGTCCCGAAGCAATGGTAGATAAATTGATACTTGGACGTTAAAAGGCTTTTTAAAAGCCCATTAGCATTACCAAGCAGAAATAAATTACTTTTATGAGTTTCAATGCTTAAAAAAATAGAAGATCCAGTACACGACATGCATTGCGTCGCAAGTTAGCCTATACCAGACCCCGTATAAACGACACTACCCCCCTTATTAATAAGTAGTTACACCCTAGTTAAACTCCGTTTTAAAGTGACACTTGGAAGTGTCACTTAAAAACGGGGTTCCACTATGGTGCAACTTTTAATAATAAAAGGTCACCCCTATGGCATAGTTTCTTTTTATAATCGCTAGGATCAATTCTAGCTACTTAGTATCAGAGACTTTGTTTAAATAATGTTGTTTGTTAAAAATTGTTTTATCAAATTTCATCCCAGTGAAACTATTTCCAGCACGTCCAATATAATAGACCTAGGAAGAAGAATAGTTAGGTTAGCTGCTCTTATCTGACTGTGACGTCATAGTGAATTTCACGTGGCTTCGTTGGCCATAGCAGAAATCCAGTCATGTAGAGCTGTCATCAATCAAGCGAACGTTTCAATTTCCATGCAACTGCCAATCGTAGTGAGGGGCAAAAAAGGTAAGTTTTCATCAAACGATCTCACTAGTGCGCGCGTTAAAAAATACACTCAACATCAAATAAACCGCACCTTCCGCGACGCGAACTTTAAAGATTTTCTTCTGACACAATCATGGTACCCCAAAAACATTGGTGTTATTTGAAAGCCCAATAAATATCCTTAAAAAAATACATTTTATTTCTAAATAAATTATTAACATATACCATAAATGTGACTTGAAAATAGACCTCACTTTGGGCTCACCTCTGGGATCAATTAGACCAATTTTTATGGTTATAAAACTCTTTAACAGATGGATAGCGATTAATCCCAACTTAACAGTTTCATAGTCATAAAAAATGGCTATAGCGTAACTACCTATTTTTTGAAGAAGTGACTCTGGATCCTTGTATAGACACATTTTTGGGGTAAAAACCTTTCCTTTAACCCTTCATTTGGCAAGACTTTAAAAGTATTAATATGAAGTAATCGCGAAAATATAGTGTTCCTAGGTGATAAAATAAAATGTAAAAAATATTTAAAAAAAATTTCATTGAAGGAATTCCTGAAAACAGTACGTTAAGTATACTCAACAAAAAACAATGTTCATAAAAAGAAGGCAACATTTGAACGTTAAGTATGCTTAACAAATATTACACCTCAATAAAGGAAAATAATACAAGTTATATAGAATTTATCACAATTTATTATTAAAATATGAAAAAGTTTACATCACTTAAACCCTATTATGGTGGTAATTGAAATGTCAATTTCTTCCTTTGACAAAACACAGCCGGACATTACATTTCAGGCAGTAAACAGTTGTAAACCCCTTTTTGCAAAAAGCACATCGACCATATTCCTGTCCATGTTCAGGGAAATGATCTATAGAATCAAATCTTACGTCATCTATGGGCCTGGTGCGTTTAGGATTCTTAATCTTTTCTTCTTCCTTTAAGTCTGGAACACTGGATACTTCTACATTCTTTCCTTTATACAGCAATGCCTTGTAAATTTCAAGTCTGAAGTGCTTTAGAGGTTTGTATTTTTTATTACCTTTTCGGCTTTGATCACGGCGGTAACACAACCAGGCATTATTTACACAGATGTCCAATAACTGGGAAAATATAGACAAGTACCAGCGCCTGCTCTTTATCTCTGTGCGGTACAGGGCAATTAGCATGTCCGCTAAATCCACGCCACCCATGTGTGCATTGTAATGTTTTACAATTTTAGGGTAGTCTACATCAATCCTTGTCTTCTTGACTTTACAATATCTTTTTACTTTAGTTGTTGGATAGGCATCAGTATAACTTGAAGCTAGAGTTACACATTTATTGTCATTCCACTTCACCAGCGAAAGCTTTGTTTTATTGCATACAGTTTGACTGAATGCTCCTCTACCTTTTTTTTTAAGNGTGACGATAAGTCGAGTTGGAGCTGCGCTTGATCGATCCTGCCAAGGCTTCGAAGGAAAACGGTCTCGGGTTTATATTTGGGCGGTCGGAGCTTGTAGCAGAGAAAAATGAGAGCGTGCCGTGAAAAACCCGGCGCGAGCAATTGCCCATGCCTGGATGCGAGCTCAGGAGAAGAAACGAGGATCAGTACCTCTAGTAGGAAAAACTTTCGAGTTCGTTTCGTTGCGTATTCAAAGTGTCATCGAAAAATTTTGTATGAAAAATTAAACAGCGCCCCCTAGGGCGGCTATAATATAGGGGGCGCTGTTTAATTTTTCATACAAAATTTTTCGATGACACTTTGAATACGCAACGAAACGAACTCGAAAGTTTTTCCTACTAGAGGTACAGATCTAACCAAGTGTCATCAGTCTCAATGTTGTGATGAGTAGGCTCCAGCGGTAAGTTTGACATGTTNGATTTGATTTGATTTGACCATATTCCTGTCCATGTTCAGGAAAATGATCTATAGAATCAAATCTTACGTCATCTATGGGCCTGGTGCGTTTAGGATATTTAATCTTTTCTTCTTCCTTTAAGTCTGGAACACTGGATACTTCTACATTCTTTCCTTTATACAGCAATGCCTTGTAAATTTCAAGTCTGAAGTGCTTTAGAGGTTAGTATTTTTTATTACCTTTTCGGCTTTGATCACGGCGGTAACACAACCAGGCATTATTTACACAGATATCGAGTAACTGGGAAAATATGGACAAGTACCAGCGCCTGCTCTGCTTTATTTCTGTTCGGTACAGGGCAATTAGCATGTCCGCTAAATCCACGCCACAATGAAGCGACAAGTGGAGATTGCAGGGGGGAGTCTGACATATGGTCGAGTATATATGAAGTTGTTATTGAAGGTATGTTTGACATCGGTGTCAAAGGAGGGCATNTTTTTTATTACCTTTTCGGCTTTGATCACGGCGGTAACCACCAGGCATTATTTACACAGATATCGAGTAACTGGGAAAATATGGACAAGTACCAGCGCCTGCTCTTTATTTCTGTTCGGTACAGGGCAATTAGCATGTCCGCTAAATCCACGCCACAATGAAGCGACAAGTGGAGATTGCAGGGGGGAGTCTGACATATGGTCGAGTATATATGAAGTTGTTATTGAAGGTATGTTTGACATCGGTGTCAAAGGAGGGCATGAACTTATTGATTGATGTCGATTGATGTCGTCTACATTACCATTATTAGCCAGAATTGAAGGAGACGGGGTACAGCTTCGGTGTTGATCAGCATCAGAATCAGAATTCAGAATATTAAGCTGTTCCAAGGAAGAGTCAAGTGAAGGTGGTTCTGAAGACTCTGGGTCCCCAAATTGAACATTAGCCAATTCGTCTTCATTATCGGAGTTTGATTCCCCACTAACATCAGAAGGAGCGTTTTCTTCGGGAATCAGCGCTAAAATTCGTCTTGATCTTGAATTCTGAAAAAAATACATTACTATTCAGCCAAACATGCATAAAGGTAAAAAAATCCACACCGACATAAAATAGTAACAGCCAAATCAAAAAAAAATCAAAATCAAAAATATTTATTCAGTTTACACCACAAGTGGCACTTATGAATGAAGGGTTAATATCAAAATGCAAACGTGGAGTTGTTAATTAATAACTTAAAAAAGTGTCGTGCGTAACTATGTAATAAAAAAACAGCCATGCCTATTTATTTTGCAAAAACGTTTCAAAAACATATTATTTCCATAAACCCACACCATGCGAAATTGTTGACTATGCTCAACATTAACCAACCACATTAAATTGTCAAGCATAATATTTTGTTGAGTATACTTAACGTTCATGTTTACAGACCTGTAGTGTTTATTTCCGAATTAGTCGTTGCTTGAAAATAACATAATTATAAATAAATAGGAATAAACGAAATTATTTGATAATTACATACGAAACATAGTAAAATAATAATATTTACCTGAGCAGTCCGCAGAGCAAATCTTCTAGTCGCCATTTTGGCTCACTAATGTCAAAGTTAGAGTTGCCAGCCACTAAAAATATTTTTTTCTACCATTATGGCATGTAAATAATACGTTTCAAAACCAAATTATAGGCATGACACCCATAGATAAATTATGACATTGTGTCAAAGTAAGTGTTGAGGATACGACTGAACGAGTAATGTGGTACATTATCGACTGGGGAACATCTGGTGATTAGACGTAGTTTATGTCTTACCAATAGGTACATTAGTACATTTACAATAATATGACAAGAACAATTTCTAAGTTTTAGAAGTTTTTTTTTTCAAAGACATTAGTAGGTAATTTATTGTAGTTAAGAGTTTGTACTTTGGCGTTTGTACGCCCGTATTCACAAACGATACTTGCTTAAGTGAAGCAGCAAATCGGACGCCCAGTGTAGAATAGAGCTCTGTGATTGGTTCGTGTGTGACATTGTGCGTCCACGAGCACTGTGAGACCTCATAATAATGTTTGTGTGAAAGTTTCGTTATGACCTCTTAGTATGCTAAATTATGCTTGTGTTACAAGTGGATTCACCATGAATTTTATTTAAGTAGGTACAAGATATCACATAAAGTCTCACTAGATAGTGAGGAGTACCGTAATACTCTGGATTGAAAAATTTACTGGCAATAAATACCGAAGCGTGCACCTCCCACTGAATCGGCACGTGACCTCCCAATAAGGGGGGTGTATTTTTTCCCACCTGTAGTAAAGTCGACGGCACTTCAGGCGACATTATTGTTGTGAAATGGTACCTATTTCAACTACTTTAAGATGCTACAATTTTTACGTTGATCTAAACTTCGGGATTTGTAGGGCGGAGTGCAAAGGGCAATAGTCGACGCTAGTTTTGAAGAATGTCCCTGAAGAAAAATGACGATCGATTGATAAGAAATGGTTGGACATGGAGAAGACAAAAGAATTCTATTTTCGAATCTCGAATATCGTAGCTTCGAAATTTCTTTCGAAGCTACGATAACGATACAAAAGAGTGCGGTTTTCGAATTCTAACACCGTCATTTATTTTTTTGAAGACAATGCTCCGATTGAAATTCAAACGTTTATAAGTGATTAGTTGAATATAAAAATCAAGGACAATCGCAGATTTTACATTGTAAATTAAATGTATGTACCTAAGTAGGTAGTTATTAAGAACTTATGAATAAGTAACATTTATTGATTTCATATCAGTTTTAAATCATAAATGTTAAAATCGACAGCATCTGCACTCTGCAGTTAAAAGACAAAATGTATTTAAGATATTTTTATGAATAAACCTATAAAAGTAAGAAAAGTATACTCACTTTTTTACGATGAGAAGACCAGTCGTCTACCTGTAAACAAATAAAAAACAAGTAAATATAACTTCAATAATAAAAACAATTAACAAGACTTCAAAATCGCAAAACATCAAATTACCTCTTTGTAAAACATTGATAGATTAATGGTTTGCAAATTCAGACAATAAGATAATCAGACAAACGATTTTAATTGAGTTTTTAACAAAACCCGACGACTATTATGGGTTTTCATTCGGTTGGATAAATTTAATTCGATTGGACGATTTCGTAGCTAATTTAGGTACCTATTTGACTTATCAACCGATTAATCGCTTTAACAAAAGGAGTTTTTTTTAACTCTAACTTCATGGTTGGGCTTTATATCATTGCAATACGGTCATGCGCAGCATATTATTGTCACCGTTTCCAGTATAAACATTTTCGCCGACGATCTCACAGAATAAAGACCAATAGTGCGTGACGGTACTATAATAATAATAAAGAAATCGCAGTAAGGAACCATAGACTTGGCACGACTGTGTCTAGATTTCATTACTTTTTAGAGGTAAACAAGCAGCTCCATCGAGGCTTGGCTAGTTTTTTACAGAAAGTTTTTGGTGGGATAAAGTTTTTCGCCGACGATCTCACAGAATTAAGACCAATAGGCTAGTTGCCTAAAAAAATTTTTTTAGTCCGTAATGTTTAATATCAAAAAATATTGGACACATATATTTTTATTTGTCAATCTAACAAATAATTACATAGTTATGGTGCGTTGAAGTTGCGCACGACGTCACAACGTGCGGCATTTTTAAGCAAGCGTTGACGTCACGGGCCTCTTCTTATGAACTTTGGGGCGCTTTATCTCTTTAAATTTTCATTAGTTTGAAAAAGTGAAAAATACGTGTAGAGTATTTTTTGATAAGTTAACTGACGGACTAATTAAAACTCTTGCTTTTTGACCCAGGCAACATCCCCATTATTAGTTTAGTGCGTGACGGTACTTGGAGAAGAAAATTAAGTAATAACCAGGGGGTTGACTCAGATTATTCTACCCAGACACGGATCGCGCATTCGACGCTCCCGTCAGCCTGACTCCATTCCATTTGGTGGAATTAGGCCTTTCGCTAAAATATGTTATCGAGAATTCGATTTCGAATAACTCACAGTTTAGAATGTAATAGGAATTCTAGGAATACCTAACTATTTTAGGATACGCCGGTCCCAGACGCTAAAAGTAGCACGTCTACTGTGGCCCTTTAGGTATTCCTTTGTCCTATTTTCGAATATTGAATTGATAAGTTCTTGATTTGAATCCACCAAAACAATTGAAATGACAATTAATGAAATCAACAGATCATAAACGTCAAATCACAAGTCGAATTTCAAATTTGAATTTAGAAGCGTTTATACGATTCTCAGATGAACACCTGCAAATTTAATGGCGTCGTTTTCTTTAATAACCTACTTTATGTTAATTATTCTTATTAATGCCCCATAGCGTATTCATGGCGGCTTAATTAAAACCATCAAAGGGCAAAACACATCAAAATATATTGCGATCGTTTGTGAAGGGGACTTTATGATTAAGGAAAATTTGAACAGATGAATTATTACTTTATAATATTCTATTCTCTAGCCTTCTTACCCCCATAGTGTAAGAGGGAGATAGATAAATTGAACCGGACTGAATATATTGAAACGGATCAGGGATTTGGAATTAATGATAATTATTATTTAGAGGAGATTATCAGTATCTTAATTTTAATACCTTTCTTTGTGAGAAAGATAAAGCTTTTGATTGTAATGAGCAAGAGGAACTGTTGAGGTTGCCGTAGCATTGCAAGTTGCAACACGCACAGTCGCCCACATCTTATTAAGAAAAATAATAATTTTTCCCTTCTTCTTCTTCTTGATGTGTCGACAACAAACCTACACAGTGTCAGCCCGAAACTCCGCTACAAGAGTGGCGTTGTCAGCAGCATTCATTAAATCCTTCTACATGCTGTTGCTCGGGCACTCAGGGCACGACAATATCCTTTGAAAATATCCAATATCCTTTGAAAATGTCCTTTTTTTTCTTTTCCTTTCTTTCTTTATAGCAGTCTTGGGTATGTTTCTTATGCTGCACTGGGAAGCTCCACTACGGATAATCATCATCATCATCATCATGTCAGCCATAGGACGTCCACTGCTGAACATAGGCCTCCCCTAATGCTTTCCACGTTGATCGATTGGTAGCGGCCTGCGTCCAGCATTTCCCTGCTACCTTTACGATGTCGTCGGTCCACCTTGCAGGTGAACGTCTCACGCGGCGCCTTCCGGTACGCGGCCTCCATTCCAGAACCTTACTGCCCCATCGGCCGTCAGTTCTGCGTACTATGTGTCCTGCCCATTGCCACTTCAGCTTGCTAATCCGTCGGGCTATGTCAGCGACTTTAGTTCGTTTACGGATTTCCTCATTTCTGATTCGATCTCGCAAAGCAACACCAAGCATAGCCCTCTCCATGGCACGCTGTGCAACTTTGAGCTTCTGTATAAGGCCTATAGTGAGAGGCCACGTTTCCGAGCCTACGGATAATACTAGTAGTTAACTATGTAGGTACTTAATTTGTGTCTTCTTTCTATTTCTTTTATACCAAAAGATAACCACTGCTGGATAATGGCCTTCCTGAAAAATTTCTACAACCACCGATACTACGCTGCTCTCATCATGCTAGATTGTTAGGATCAATCCAATGGTAAGTTTATATCTACCTAACAATAAGTACCAATGGAATTTTTAACAACATTCATTTAATTTTGAATTTTAACCATAAAACCCTAGAATTAACGATCAAATTCACATAACACGATGGACGACCTACATTTCAAGTTGATACATAGAAAATTTATAAACGAATCAGGAGAACTTTGTTCAAAACTAATCTGTCAAGAAGTTTTTGCTCCAAAACCGAATTTGTTTCGGTCTTCTGATCTTGTTAGGAAAGGGCTCAAACAAAACAAAAACAATACAACTCAGTTGGTAACACTTAAGTTTGATTATTACCCTTTTACCGTGATGCTTTCTAAATAAGGAATACTAGGTTCGGTAGGTTTGAATGTTTCTCACTTGTGAATGTCAAAACATCATTAGCGAAAAGGTTATGTCAAATATTTTGTAAATATTGTGTTAATTATTTAAATAAATATTTTTATTAAGATTTATGTCATTTACGAGTGGGCTGTCACAAGAGAAGTTAATAACCCTGGTGAGGCACCATAAGCATCTGACATTTGACATTATGCCCTTAAAGTTTAAATGATCATAGTGGAAAATTTTGCGAAACATTTGCATTAAATGTATATAATAATAATTACTGAAATGATGCTTGATTTAAAAAGAACTTATAGAAAATTGTTCGAAAATGTTAAATCACAAGAAATTGCTAATACTTTTTATTGGTCTATTCCACTTTGATCACCTGGCTTTGATGACCCAGGTGATCAAAGTCCACTTTCAGCGACAATTTAGTGTCCTTTGATCACCCACGGATACGATGCCCTGGGTGATCAAAGTGGACCCCAGTTAAATTATTATTTTAGTGTTCTTTGATCACCTACATACAAATCACACCTCCACTTATACTTAATGTACGGACAAACATTGTTCAGGTAAGTAACGCTTTAAAATATTTCGTGCTGTGAAAAAAATTGACTATATTAAGAAAATGTTTGTACTTACAACAATTGGACATGACGTGTCTATTCAGAGGAGGTGTGATTTGTATGTAGGTGATCAAAGGACACTAAAATAATGATTTAATTGGAGTCCACTTTGATCACCCAGGGCATCATATCCGTGGGTGATCAAAGGACACTAAATTGTCGCTGGAAGTGGACTTTGATCACCTGGGTCATCAAAGCCAGGTGATCAAAGTGGAATAGACCTTTTTATTCTACTCCAATTAGCAAAAAAGCAATCTTAGCCAAAGTATTATCAAAATAAAGAACATTCTAGATTAAGAATCAAGTCTCTAATTGTAGCTATATCTGGAACTGGCATCCAAATTATTTGTACAATTAGACTTTCTTAATTTTTTAGGGTAACACTTAAATCAATTAGGTATTCATTAATTTTGCCTTTTGCCTTCGTCTGGCGTTCTAAGTTGTTTCTATTTCTTAGTCCTTAGGTATACTTTATACAAAAAAGTACATCATCATTCGATCTATCATTACGATAACCTTGACTTCTTATCATCAGAAGGTTTTGCAAAAAAGCATAAAATTAACACTATTATTTATTTTATGGGTAAGTATATAAGTCTTAGATGTTGAACGTAAGGCGTGGGTGTGTCCTTATGTGTGCTTATGCAGGCAGGAAAATGGCACAGAATAAGTAGGTAAGTAAGAATGTAACTAATTTAACTTTAAATAGATTTCTATAATCCTGATCTTTTTTGTTTTCAATAAAAGATTTTTTAAATAGATCATATTATTATATTGGCAGTTTTTTAAAGATGTGTTAAAAATCATTGACATTTTTATGACTCAAGGACAGCCTATATAAGTAACTGGACGTAAGCCTCCTAAGAGCATCAAGTACCACAATTTTACCCTTTTATTCCATCCAATCATCAGACCTTTCTGAGATCTTTTGACTGATTAATTTTTCTATCGCTTAGAAAATTTTATCTTTACATTTCCTTAAAAAAAGATAATTTGAATTAAGCAACGTGTAACCTATACACCAGCAGGCAGGAATTTGAAACTGTGTTTACACGTACAGTTTAAATATTTAATTTAACCCTAACCACAGTATAATTACTCCACAAAACTCCGCTCGTACTTAACCGCAGGTCTACCTTCCCCGCTGCAAGTCATGGTGAGCGATCAATCATACTTATGTGACATCACACCCGCATGATGGATTCGACCTGGATATTACTTCCAGACCTAACGGGGTGGGTGACGTCATAATGACCGTCGTTTTACAGATGAAGTAGTTTGGTGAAGTATGGATCGATTTGGTGAGATATTTTGGATAGTCACATTTCAAAATCCCTTTACTCAAA